ACTAGTTTTCACATGTATGTACAATATATACATCTCAAGTTTATTGGTCTGACCCTCTAATAATTTGTTGCCATGTTGGGAATGAAATAATAATTCATCTAAATCTATACAGACAACTTAATTTATCTGGACTTAATAGAAATAAAAATAACCCCTAAGACGTACAATATAACAGTTTAATTGGGTCTTGATGAGTTATTGTAAAGGATGATCCAACACAACCACATTCGCCGAAACCAAATACAAATGACTTATGATAAGTAAAAAATGATGTTTGATAAGTGTTGAACGATCGAATCTATTCAATTAAAACACAAGCAAACATCACCTCAACTTCTTTCATCTACTATTCATATGTGAATAGCAACTTTTTGGAGTCATGTGTTTTGATGTATGGTGAGAAGTGTTTTATGTTGTTTTAGTGATGATATGGATCCACTTTTATATGATTTTTTAAACTGAAATTTGAAAAGGAGATTTTTTGTAAATTTAGTGTGCTTGGGTAAGGGTAAGGGCAAAGGAGTCAACTACTTTTTGTAGGGTGGTGAAGTTGGTCAATTTTGGTCATCAGAAGTATTTTAGGTGAACCACTCTCTTGAGTTTTTCTCACATTCCTTAATGCTATTTCTACCAACAACCACTCTATGCATATATTCAATTGCCTAAAATCAACACATTTTGTCTTAATTTTTATTTACTATATTCATCAAAAATGAATTTCAATTCTTTTTATTTCGTACTTATTTTGACTCGTCTTATTGGTTCATGCAAAAGTGGAGCAAGATGGGTCCATGAAGCCTTGCATTGTCCGTACCAAATTATGAACAAAAGTGGCACACCTATGCCCGACAGCGTTTGGCATGGACCGTGTTTACAAAATGGGATGATTGTGCCAATGCCTCGACTTAATCTCTAGGCTTGTATTTGGTACATATACGATATTGAAGGAATAAGTATCTGGAGGTCAAAAGTACCTGGAGGTCTCAAGTTCAAATCCAATGAGGAATAAAAATCTCTTTGTGGCCACAAAGGTTCAAACGCGGTAACTCCGGGCTATCTGCAAAGCAGGTGGTCACCGTGGGATTAGTCGGCTCGCATAGCTGGTTGGATATCCAGGTTAATCAAAAAAAAAGGTGAGAGTAGGTGAAAGATTGAGCAATGTATCAAGATTTTCATTTGACACGAGTAATTTAATAATTATTGAATCTCATCTCTTAGATTTTTGTTCCGCTAATCAATTGGTCAAGTCTTGTCTCATCATGTCTCATTAAAAAAAAATTAATATTACACCAAACGTGGTACAAGTTTTTGTCCCTTCCTGTTAGAAATGGGGCAAAGTTCATTTTATGGTAGTGTTTGGTACGCAGACTGGATGAGACAGAACAGGACGGGACAGGACAAGATAGGACTAATTGTATGTCCTATGTTTGGTACGACTAGGACATGACAGGACAAGATTGTTAAAATAATCATATTACCCTTAAATGTTGTTCAATGTTATTTTATACTGTATAATGATTGTAAATAACAACAAATCAACCATATATATATTTAAATTATTTAATCTATGATATCAATACTTTTTTTAACATTCCAAAACCACATGTAAATAACATTTGTCATACCATAAATTCTAAATACGCACATAATTTAAAAAGTTTAAACACAACAATTGTAAATAGCATTTGTCACGCCATTGTCAAAAGTTTTAACATTTCAAGAATGGAGGTTGGAATCAAGAATGGAGGTTGCAGAAGAGAAGAAAGAGGATGCAATTAAATTAGGTTCGTATTTTGATATCAAATAATAAGGGGAATATTGTAATCTCAAATGTAGGCCCATGTTATTGTACCGTTTTTGGTGAAACAAAAAAACTCAAGAATAGTCTCACCCAATCTTATTTTTGTCCCATGTAGTCCCATCTCATTTTTGTCCCATGGCACACTAAACATGGGACTATTTATTTTTGTCTCGTCCCATCCCATCCCACCCAGTCTGCATACCAAACGCACCTTATCCGTCTCCATCCCCAACCTATCCTTGACCAAAAAAAAACATTTAATTAAGTGTATTATATACTTCATTTAAACACGTCTCTTACAAAGTTGAATGTACGAAGATGGTGAAATAAGTTAATAAGATATTGTTAATGTACGGTATATTTTTAATATATAGATTTTGAATGAGCAACAAACATGTGTTGAATCAAGTATACAAGTAGTTGAGTGAGTTTCAAATCAGTATTCCTCAAATGGGTTTTGCATATTACACAAAATTTATATAAAAATACGAGAGTACTTAGAGATTAGTGACTAAGGTAATACATAATCGATGAGTAGTGTAAAACAATGGGAAATCAACGGTTGTAGTTGATGATAGAATGAAAAATATGTAAAATAACAAAGACTAATCGAGAAAATTATATATATTATAGATCGAGCTTAAGGCAAGGTGGGGAATATTGTTACCATCATCATCCCCAGTGGGTAGAGACAGTGTTTCCTCATCCCCAGACTTGAGACCTGGCTAGCTGGCTATCCGGGAACCAGATCCAACTACCATATGTATGTCCTGCCCTACCCCACGTATCAATCGCATCTTAAAGATGATAAAAGATGTTTATTGTGGTATTTATATCAGTATTCTTCTAATATGATTTAGATACATGTTTAGATAACCATGTAACCGCAAACAATATAAATCACTTATGAACATGTTCAAATGATTAAAACTCTGCTACGATAATTTGAAGATTGGCGAATTTGAATCATATTCATAAATGTTACCTCATAAATTACTAGATGTACATGCATTAATGAAATGTCAACAAAAATTTTGTGCAAGTATTTTTGGTACTTGCTTTAAACTATTGAAACCACAAATAAATAAATATATATAGGCCTAATCAAATGAGAACTAATTAGTTTGTGGTAACCGTGAGGTCCAATCTCAACCACAAATCAATAGATAAATTAGGAAATTTATAATTTTGGTAGTTTTTAATTAAAATTTTAATGCAAGGACATTTTAGGTATTTTCTCTCCTCTCTCCTATCTCCTCTCTTTTCTCTTCGTCTCCGGGCCTCCGTCCCCCAGCCTCCGGCCACCGTCCTCCGGTGATACCACAATGGTATCACAATGCATCTTATATGTGATTTGGTATCACACTGTGGTCGTTTGTGTGGTTGATTGGATATGTAACACAGTGGTATCACAATACATCTTATATGTGTTTGAGTATTACACTGTGGTATCACCGGAGGACGGTGGTCGGAGGTCGGAGGACGGTGGTCGGAGGTCAGAGGACAGTGGCCGAAAGATGGGGACGGAGAGAGAAGATGGGAGAGAGGATAGAAAATACCTAAAATGTCCTTGTATTAAAATTTTAATTATAAATTACCAAAATTATAAATTTCCTAATTTATTTATTGATTTGTGGTTGAGATTGGATCTCACGGTTACCACAAACTAGTCAGTTCTCCCTTAAATGAAGTGTTGTTTATTGATGCATTAAACAAAACTCTTAAAAACCATTTTTTATGCATGAAGTGTTGTTTATTGATGCATATTACTTAAAATTCAAAATTACAAGTAGATTGTGCTTAAGTACAACTTATTAAAGCTCTATCTTTGAATTCTTGTAACTAACTGCAGATAAACATAATCAAATACAGGTTAAACATCTCATTTTAAATATAAAAAATCTAAAATATAATTAAGATAATCATTAAATTCTAACAGAATACTTAATTATTATCTTTATAAAAATTATATTATTAAACCTAAATTAAATTATAATTAAAAATTTTGAATTAAGAAAATTACACCAAAACACAAGAACTTTTAAAAAGATTAATGATACTGATATCGACATATTTTTTTTCAAAAATTTATAATATTTTTAAATTTATATTTTATTTAAAAATAAAAACATTATCGTTTTCTCAAAAACACATAAAACCATATTATATCGACATAAAAAATGAATAAAACGAAACACTGAAATCAAGATGTGTCTCGATGCATTGCACGGGTACCCTTCTAGTGTGTGTGTGTGTGTGTGTGTGTGTGTATATATATATATATATATATATATAAAGAGGTGAGGTATATCTAATTTTGACTATTTCTTCTTCCTTCTGACTTCTTTAAAATGTACAGAACCCTGATGGAGACAAGGTTTCATATTTTATTGTTCATAACAGCAGAATATTAATATAGATTATGCCTAATTGGTAGTTTTTTGGTTATACCTGTTCAAACCTGCATCAAACATTTGCATTACTCAATTACTTTTATGCCCTTGTGAAAATTTCACTGCTTTAAAAAAATGTACTAGTCTACCAACCTATTAAAACATAAGTAAGGGCATTTTAGTCATTCTGATTAAAAAACACGGATTTGACTCCGACAAGTTTACATGTTTGCTTGCGATCCTGATATACAATTATATTTTACTCTCTTACAAACAATAGAAAAAACTTTTATATCTCTATTTTCGACCTAGAAGTTGAAAATTTCATACGGGGATTTTTATTTAAAAGTATTTCACATCCGTGCTTTCAACGTCAAACTAGAAAATACATATGGGTAATTAAGTAGTTTCCGACCAAACGGCCAAGTCAACTCGCTCCATTTACACCCCAACTCCCAATCCGCGGTGGATAAGAAGTTGAAAGCGTACAACGGCAATGCAGACATTTCGACAAAAACCCGAGAAGTCACCAAACCAAACAATTGAGGGATAAGAAGTTGAAAACGTACAAGGGTATTTTAGTCATTTGACAAAACTCAGAGAAGAAGTCACCCAACCAATATAAGTAAAGAAAAATGAAAACAAATGGGAAGAGCCAACTACTTTCATTGAAAGTGTCAGCAATTAACCAAACAGGCAAAATACCAAATCCAAAATGCTTTAAGCCAAATCAAAAACAGTAATCAACAATCCTCCAAAACAAATCAACAAATTTTCTTCATCATCTTCCTCCTAAAACCTCCCTCTCTGCATTTCAATGGCTGCCAAAATCCCATTTCTGCCATTGTTGTTGCATTTCTTCTTGTTTGCTTCTTGTTTCCTACCCCAATCATCTTCCCAGTCCATCCCTCAAAACGTTCAAGTCTTTTATCCATGGCCTCTTCCTCCTCCTCCTCCTCTTCCACCACCGCCACCTCCATCACCATCGCAACCGCCACCTCCACCTCCATCAGCGGATATTACACCTACTCCTACTCCCACCATCAGCACACCTGCCCCCACATCAAAGTCATCTAACAAAACCGTTGCCACAGCAGTGGCTGCAACTGCAGCAAGTGCTTTGGTTTTATCAGGGTTGTTCTTTTTACTACTCGTGAGATATAAACGCTACCGGAAAGAGAAAGAACCGAGTTTACATGGTGGCAATGACAACGGCAATGACAATACCCGGCAACCGGTTTTGCTTATGCATGATCAGTTTATGAGATTTGAAGGGGTCAAAGGGGTGATTGTTGATGAAGAAGGATTAGATGTGCTTTATTGGAAGAATCTAGATGGTGATGATGGGCCTAAAAAAGCACTCTTTAGGAAAGAACGCCCAAGAATCAACGAGAAAGAAGAAGAAAAGAAAATGATGGCAGTTGACCATGGCGGAAGAAAGTCAAAGAAATTTGAAGTTCAAATTCAGGAAGTTCCTTTACTCAGAGGAAAATCTTCAGGTTCTCACCTTTGGCCTTCGGGGGAAGAAAATAGAAGTCAAAATAATTCTCCTCCGGTTGTGAATCAAGAAATCTTGATGAAAAGTCAGCTGTCATCACGCTCTCCACCACCAACACCGCCTTCACCACCACCACTGCCGCCACCTCCCCCTCCTCCACCACCTTCAACTGTGGTAGCAAGAAAGAGTTATGTCCCGCCACCACTGTTACCACCTGAAATAGGTGGTTTCACTTCATCATCAAGACCAGCACCACCTTCACAGGTCAAACTCAAGCCACTGCCTTGGGATAAAGTCAACGCTAACGTGGGGCATCCAATGGCATGGGACAAAATGAAAAACGGTTCTTTCAGGTACCATTTCAAGCTTTTCGTAGGCTCATACTTGGATGCATCATAGAGTTGTACAGGATGCATGTACACTTGTACCCAAAAACTTACAAACAGTACCTTTCATTCAACACATTTGCCTTGCACCATTTAAAAAACTCTCAGAAGTTTCCTTAAATTGGTTATGCTTTTTTGTACCTGCTTCTTTTGTGTGTTATTGCTTTCTCTTAACCAATTTATCAAATCTTTATCATATCTGTCTCCCTCTTTGTTACACTTTTCCCAAGTCTGGGGTCTTCACGGAAACAGTCGCTCTATTATTTGGAGCAGAGGTCAGGTCTGTATACATCTTACCTTCCACAAACCCCACCTCAAGTGGGATATACCGGGTTAATTTGGTTTGGTTTCATTTAAACTCTCAGCCGTTCATTAGATTTTCATTCAGTTACTCGTGTGCATTATGGAGCTGTACTCAATGCACATACACTTGTACCCAAAAAATACGTATCAACTTGTACCTTTCATTTAGCACCTATTTTATACAGAGCCTCTTAAACCACTAAAACACCTAACCATTTATAGAACTTTAAATGTTTCACTCTCTATATGATTCAGGTTTGATGATAATCTCATGGAAGCGCTTTTTGGAACCGTGGCAGCAAACAAAAAATCGCCACGAGAGAACATCAACTCGCCAACTCCAAAAAACATACTAAAATCAGGTCCACCCTCTCAAGTGTTCATCCTTGACACCCGGAAATCGCAAAATATAGCAATAATTCTTCGATCATTAGTCGTCTCCAGACAAGAAATCATTGATTGCCTCCTTGAAGGCAAAGGCCTAGACACAGATACCCTCGAAAAGCTTAGTCGAATCAGTCCCACAAAAGAAGAAGAAGAACTCATTCTCAACTATGATCAAGACATCACACGGCTAGCTGACGCTGAATCTTTCCTCTACCACATACTGAGAGCAGTTCCCTCAGCTTTTACTCGATTCAACGCTATGTACTTCAAGTTAAACTACACCTCAGAAGCATCCAACATCAAGAACACCTTACTTACGATTGAAACGGCTTGCAAAGAACTTAGAAATCGTGGGATTTTCGTTAAACTGCTAGAAGCAATTCTAAAAGCAGGCAATCGTATGAATGCGGGAACCTCAAGAGGAAATGCTCAAGCTTTTAATCTGAATTCTCTACTGAAGCTATCCGATGTTAAAAGCAGTGATGGAAAGACAAGTTTGCTTCATTTCGTTGTTGAAGAAGTTGTTCGCTTAGAGGGAAAACGCTGCATGATCAACCGAAATCACAGCTTAAGAAATAGTACCGTTGGCTTAAACTGTGATGCATCTCGAGGGAAAGATTACATAATGCTGGGATTGCCTGTAGTGGGAGGAATAAGTTCCGAGTTTTCTAATGTCAAGAAAGCTGCTGGAATTGACTATGATTTCCTTACAAAATCATGCTCGGGGTTAAGCAATCGTTTGGCTGAAATCACAAAGACTGTGGAAATATGTGGTGGTGATGATGGTGGACGGGGTTTCGTGAGGGAAATGGAGAAGTTCGTCGAGAGGGCAGAACAGGAAATTCAAGCGTTGAGCGAAGAAGAAGAACGTATTATCGGGCTCGTGAAGAAAACGAACGAGTACTTTCAAGTTGGGGCTTCAAAAGATAAAGGAAGGAAGCAGTTTCAACTGTTTGTGATAGTGAAAGCTTTTCTTGAAATGGTTGATAAGGCTTGTGTTGATATTGCTATAAAACTACAAAAGAGAAGAACAGGGGGCGAACAGGAGGCAACAGCGGTGTTGCCAACGCCCAAATCTCCCAACCGGCCCTCGGTGAAGTTTCCGGTATTGCCGCCGAATTTCATTAGCAGCAGCAGCAGTTCGAGTGATTCAGATGAAGATTTGTAAGTAAGCAAAGAACATGTATAGAAACATCACTTGTGTGCATTTGAAATGAGGAAGTCAAGTGTATCAATATCGAGCTCATTTTTTTTCAAATATGTGAACTTATTTTTCAAGGTACAAATAGTAATGCATTTGGTACAAACATGATAATGGGTTTAATACCCCTCTCTGCTGATCCTTTTACCAATTTGGAACAATTTTATTTCGAACCCTAATTGGAAGAGCTAAAGATTTGAAATTTAAACCACATGAAATCAATGAGATCAAACCACACTGGAGAAAAATTCAAGCCCTAATTGGCAAAGATAATAATGGGCCAGTTTATATGAAATTATACCTACTCAAGAACCCTAATTGCACAAGTTAACAAATTGAGGTGATTAGTCAAACTACAATAAAGAAGATCACAACCCTGATAGCACAAACTAAAAAACTTAAGTAATTAGGCAATTTAAACGACAGGAAACCAAACCTAATGAACCCTAATTGTAAGAGATGGGAAAAATGAACTATATGAGATCCACGGAATCATCTCACTCAATTAAGGAAATTTCAAGCCCTAATTGCAAAAGCCAAAAAGTTGAACTGATAGCATAATTTAAACTATATGAGATCAAACCCATTCAAGAACCCTGAATATCGAACTAATAGGCCAATTTAAAAGAAATGAAATGAAACCAAATCAATAAACCTGATTGTAATACCATATGAAATCATTTCATACAAGCAAGAAAATTTCAAACCCTAATTGCAAAAAAAAATGAAAATTGGACTACGAGTCAACTTGAAGTAGTGATAAGGGCAAAAATGTGTACCTTATTCTCCATGTTAGGCGCTTCCGATCTTCCAGCGTTTATGAAGATTGAGATAAGGACAGATGTACTACTAAAAGCCCCAATAAAATGTGCAGAAAGAGGGCCTGCTGATAGAAAAATGGACCAGATTATAAACCCTAATTTTGGAAAGATGGATCAGATAAGAACACTAGAAATGCCGATTCAAACAAGATTATAAACCTAATTTCATGTAACATGTTAGCTTATTATTATCCATCGATCCTTCCAACATTCCACATTTGTGGGGAAAAAGAAGGTCGTCATTTGCTGGCATTTTTGGAACCTTCTAAAACTGTTGAAACACCTAACCATGACTTCAAAAGTTAAAAAATTTATCAAATTAAAAAAAAAATTGCACATAAATGGAACCAACTTTCATCTGATTCTTATTTTGGAAAATTAACTTTCAAAATCGTCATTTTAGGAAACCAATTTGTAAAATAATTATAAAAAATAACTAAAATTCGTTTTTTTTCAAAAATTAATGCAATAAAATCTATTTTTTATTTCAAATCTCATTTTTTTTTAAATTCATATATCAAATTGAAGATCCAAATTATTACAATAATAAAAAATTAATTTAATAGAAAAAATTAATTGATGTAATAAAAAATAAATATTAAATAACACATTCAAGATTTTTATATCTAATCAATCCGTATCAATATTAAATTTTAAATCAAATTTGACAAATCAAACCAAAAGTTTGATAGAGACCATTAAATTACATGTTACATGTTCAACAGATCAACCAGACCCTTAAATAAACAAAAAGTTTGATTGAGACCCCTAAATAACGATTTTGAAAGTTGGTTCCTAAAAATAAAAATCAGGTGAAAGTTTGTTCCATTTTGGTGCAATTTTCCATAAAAAATACAAAGCTATTCTAGTTTAAACAATTTAAATATTAAATATATTATCTAAATATTTAATATATTTAATAAAATATAATTTTTTTATATACTTAAATAATGAAATTTTAAATATTTTTCACATAAGAAATTACATATTTAGTTCCTCATAAATACTTATATTTTGATTTTTGTCCGACAAAATTACAAATGTCGTCCAAATTACATGAGTCTTTTTGAAGATCATGTTTTTTAACCCAAATCAATTCCTCCCATTAACGTCGTCCAAGTTGTTGATATTAGGGGTGACAACGTAAGGGGCAATTTGGTATTTTTACCTTCTTTTCTTATTTTGATTTTTTTTAAAATCCTATACTGTATATTATAAATGAAAATTTAAAAAAAATGTTTGAATGCATTATGATTTGAAAAAAAGCATCCATATCAACTTCAACATCCGCCACCGCCACCAGCTAACTATCAGCACCACCCATTAGCATTAGGTTCGTTGTAACGAATGAAAACGAATATAGAATGCTAGAGAATATGAATGAGCATTGTATCTGATATTGTTTGGTAAAAACCAATATAATAAATGAAAAATTGTTTTATATAATATTTTTAATACAAATGTATTCCGTCCAACTTCAAAATATAAAAGATGTTCTATTCAGCATCGAGAGACGGAACGAATATGAGAAAAGAAGACTGAAACGAAATAAAGTTTGCATTCCCCCCAATTAGTCGGATATGGAATTAATGGATTTGAGGTAATGAACTCATTGTATCTATATCTATACTATCTTATAAAGCATTTGGCTAAAACTCTTAAAAACTCTTAAACTCGTTCATCCCTAAACGATTTCATCTCTATCCGATTTCATCTCATATCTGAATTCGTGTAACTAACTGCAGATAAACACAATCAAAT